TACTTTTATAGATTTTAAAACTATGATCCTTTATATATGTGTTTTGGGGGAGCTATGATAAGTTTTATGGCAAACAGTCGATATTGTTAACTTTCTATTGTCATCAAAGTACATAAAAATCCTGTTAATCCCCTTATCCTCCTACTGCCCTTAACTCTGGTATACACCAAAAAGAAATCTTTACTCTCCTTCTTTTATCATTATAAAGTAATAAAAGTATTTTGCTAGTATGGAAACCGCCTGTGCATTTGGCTTCACGTGGCTGCACCCACAGTGTGGGAGGTTGGAAGTGGACCCGGACATGACTTCTTTGGTGGCTGATTTCCTTTGGCAGTTTTCCCCTTTCCTTCGGTGGAGGGAGAAGGGACGTCTGCTTTGGTTTACCTCAGTGATGATGGGTAGGAGGGTAGGACTCGGGACCACCAGCCTCTCCCCTCTCTGGGACCCAGCCCTGCCCTTGTGTCTAATGGAGGGAGGTGGACCAGATAACTCAGGGATACTCTAGGTCCTTAGCAGTGTAAAGGTTTCACTCGAAACCCTTAGACTCACCCTCAGAGCAATTCTCCAGGTCCTGTTTAGTTGCCTTTTTTTTTTAATACTCATTTTTGAGAGAGAGTGTGACTGAGGGAGGGGCAGAGAGAACGGGGACAGAGGATCCGAAGCAGGCTTGGCACTGACAGCAGTGAGCCCAATGTGGGGCTCAAACTCAAACTCACCAACCATGAGATCATGACCTGAGCTGAAGTCGGACGCTCAACCGACTGAGCCAGCCAGTTATCCCTGGTTCCATACTCAGTTTCTCTATAATGGGGGGCAGAGCCCAACCACTGCTGTCATCTTCGAGATCAAGAGCTGCAGATATTCCCATCGCTGTGTCATGTTACTCTCAGAGCTGGAGGATCAAGGGGGTCCTTGATTCTGAGTAGTAAAAAAAAAAAAAAAATCAAAATCTTTGTTAGTTCTATCTCCCCCCAAACCCAATGCCATTTCTTCTTTTTGATACTTGGCTGTGCAGTAAGACACTTTTCTTAAGTTCTGTGTGTTAGAGTGGACGTAATTCTATATTTGTGACAGCCAAATCTGCCCACCAGCCAAGTATGTTCCACAAAGGGACCCAGAGGACCTCCATCTACCAAAAAGAGGCACCACATTGTTGAGAAGCTGGGTGGCCATTCCTCTGGGGCCCAAACTGACAGAAGAAGATGTTGTAACAGAACCGGGCTCCCTGATAGCAATGGGATCTAGAGGATCCCACAGCAATAGGACCAGGTGGTAGCTCGGGCCTTTCAGAGGCCATGAGGGAGGACCAGACTCCCAGAGAGCTAGGGAGCTATGAATGGACCACGGTGTGGCCAGAGGCAAATGGCTGGGCAGCTGACAGGGGTTGGCTTCCTTTATACAACTGGAAGGACTCAAGGGATCGTTGGCCCAATGGCTGAGGGAAGCTGCCCCAAGATGAAGTCACAAAACATTACCCAGTTCCCAGACATGAGGCAATTCTCAGGCTCAGAACCCCTTGTCCAGAGGAGAGACTGGATCTCATGAGGGAGGCCTCTCCCACATGGCTGTGAGGAATGCAGTAATGGTTGTCCTGGTCCTTCCCAGAGGGGCCTCCAGCCATTTATTTACTCAGAGAACTGTACATACCCCAGGAAGAGGAATACTTGGCGTTGCTTTAGGATTGCCCTTGAACACAGGTGCCTTTGATACCTGAGGAAGTCAAGTGTCATCAGGACTCTGGTTAGGTTAGGGGAGTAAAAGTGGGTACACAGTAAATGGAGTCCTGGCCCCAGGCCCAGCTCACAGTGGGATGGCTGGGTTCACAGCTCTGCCTGGTCATTTCCCTGGCCTTGATCTTCAATCAGAGTGGACACCCTTGCTTGTTGTAGAAACCTTCCATTGGTCAGGTGGAAACCTCCTGTGCTGGGAAAAGGGCTTTTGAATGGACTAGCTATGGTGGCGGGGGGGGGGGGGGGGTAGCGCAGGGAGGGGAGGTACGGTGCTCTGCATGATGCCAGCAGCATGGCTGTGACTCACCGAGGCTGCTCTAGCTCTGTTACTGCTGAACGTCCAGCCTGTCAGCAACAGAGACCAATGCCAAGCCTCTGAGCCCATCTCTTGTGACTAGCCACTTACTTGGTAGTATGTTAGTCCCTCCCATGCTGGAAAGGGTGGTGATTCATCTTTATTTTTTTGTTCTTTTCTGGCTTTTCGTTTCGATAAAATTTTACATTTGTGAAAAGAGAACAAAGATCTCAAAAACACGCCAAGTTGTAGCAGACACAAAAGACCACGTATCATAGGAATATAGGAATGAATCCCTTTATGTGAAATGTCCAGAAAAGGCAAACCAGCAAAGACAGAAACAGATCAGTGGTGGCCTGGGGCTGGGACTTACTGGGGTGATGAAATTGCTCTAAAACCAGATCATGGTGATGCTCTGCACAACTGAGCAAATATACCAGAAGTTGAATTGTACATTTAAAATGGGTGAATTTTATAGCATGTAAATTATATACCTCAACAAAGTTGCTTTTTACAATAGTACAAAGAATGCTTCATACGGTTCACCCAGCTTCCTCACATGTTCATCTTTTACAACAGTATGATTTTTTTTCTTTTTTCTTTTTTTTTAAGTCAGCTTCATGTCCAGCACAGACCCCAACATGGGACCTGAACTCACAACCCCTGAGATCAAGACCTGGGTTGAGATCAAGAGTCAGATGCTTAACCAACCAAGCCACCCGGCACCCCAACAACAGTATAATTATTAAAAACAGGAAATTAGGGTACCTGGGTGGCTCAGTTGGTTAAGCATCCGACTTTGGCTCAGGTCATGATCTCGCAGTTCATGAGTTTGAGCCTTGCATCAGGTTCTGTGCTGACAGCACAGAGCCCACTTTGAATCTTCTGTCTCTCTGTCTCTCTGTCTCTCTCTCTCTTTGCCCCTCCCCTGCTCATGCTCTCTCTCTCAAAAATAAACATTAAAAAAATAGGAAATTAACACCAAAACAGAGACTGTTAACTAATCAACAGATCTTATTCATTACAGTTGTCCTGTAATGATGCCCTTTTTCTGGTCCACGATCGCATCCAGGATCACATTGCATTGAGTCGTCAGGCCTCCTCATTCTCCTAATCTGGCTCAGTCCCTCAGTCTGTCCTTTGTGTCCTTGGCACCAGCCATTTTGCACATCCTGGAATGGACACAGAGTCCAGGTGTGGCTCTCTGGCTGTCCTGCCAGTGAGGGTTCAGAGTGCTTGACCTTCCAGTACAGAATACATCCTGTCACCTTGGATTGGATCAAGTGCCTCTCCACAGCAATGACATGTGGATGCATGGCAGCAGGATCCAATGTGCTGTATCTCCCTCTGGACACCCAGAATTTGCTGACCTGAAGAGCAATGGAAAGACTGTTGAAAGGTACAGGTCAGAGGGCACCAGGGTGGCTCAGTGGGTTAAGTGTTCAGCTTCTGCTCAGGTCATGATCTCACAGTTCGTGGGTTCGAGCCCCACTTCGAGCTCTGTGCTGACAGCTCAGAGCCTGGAACCCGCTTCTGATTCTGTGTCTCCCTCTCTCTCTGCCCCTCCCCTGCTCATGCTCTCTCTCTCTCTCTCTCTGTCTCTCAAAAATAAACACAACAAAAGGTACACGTAAGGAACCAGATTAGTGATAAGACTTTCCAAGGAAAGGATGCCATCCTCTTGCCTCTACCCTTCCTCTAGGAAGGGGTATACACCCCAGATCAGTGACTGGGACATGGGGCTGCAGCTCCAATAGGTAGGAGACGGGAGGGAGAGGGGCAACCCAAGAGTAGAAGTAGAGGTGGCCTAGAGGTGGCCCTGCTTGTTGTCACTCCAGAGACCCATTGGGAGAGCTTGTGCTTTCTGTCCTGAAACTTTAGGCTGTGTGCATCCAGAGACCCTGGCTCCCAAAGGGAGAACATACCCACCAGAAGACACAGCAGGAGTCCCATTAGGCTTTAAGTTACAGCTGCCTCCTGGGTCCTTTGAGCTCAGAGGAAGAGGCCAGGGTCCTGGCAAGAGGAGTTGACCTTGACCATTAAGGGAGGAGGGTGAGGTTCCACACTGGGGAGGCAGAGTGCATTCCACCCCGCTGACCCCATGCTGTGTCTCTTGGTATGATTTTGGTGATGAGTGGACAGGTGTGCCCACCATGCATTGATAGTGCTGGGTGACCAGGGGCTCAGACTCTTCCAGGTATATGGGTCTGGGTCGGTCTTGGTGACCCCTCCAGGTAAGCTGAAGTGCTAGCTGAGGGTGAGGGCAATCTAGACTGGGTGGTAGAAGACGGAGGTGATGAAGCCTGAAACCAGCTGTTGTGTGTTCCACCAGCCTTTTTTTCTTAAGTTTATTTATTTTGAGAGAGAGAGAGAGAAAGAGAGAGAGAGAGAGGAGGGGAGGGGTAGAGAGAGAGAGAGGGAAAGAGAGAGAGAGAATCCCAATCAGGTTCCGAGATATCAGTGCAGAGCCCAACATGGGGCTTGAACCCACGAACCATGAGATCATAACCTGAGCTGAGATGAAGAGTCCCATGCTCAACCCACTGAGCCACCCAGGCGCCCCGCCCACTAACCTTATTTTAAATTTCCCCAGGAAACGAGTCCTGAGTCGTAAGGTGCCACTTGCTGGGGGACTGAACTTACTGTATAAAGAGGGCCCAAAGGGACGCCTGGGTGATGCAGGTCATGAGCTCAGGGTTGGTGAGTCCCAGCCTCGCACTGGGTTCGCTGCTGAGGGCGTGGAACCCGCTTGGGATCCTCTGTCCCCCTCTCTTTGCCCCTCCCCCGCTCGCACTCAATCTTGAAAATAAACATTTAAAATAAAAAAAATAAAGAGGACGAGTGGTGCAAGGTGCGGACTCTAGGTGTCGCTGTGGCGCGCCCCCAGTGCTGCGGGCGAAGGCCAGAGGGATTCTCCCTGGGACTGGCGTTGAATAGGGAGCTTCGCAGCTCCACCTAACGTACCCTACGCAGGGCCGCCCGCTCTCAATGCCTGGTCGCTTTGGGGGTCCAGAGGCCCGACCTGCCTCCCCAGTTCGGGGCCACCCAGTGGGCCGGCCCGGCTGCAGGACCCCCTTGGCAGCCGGGCCGCAGCCACATCACAGCTCAGCTGGCCGCCCTGCCCTGCTTTCTACCCGGACTTCTCCCACAAGCCATGCACGTTCCGGGGCCCAATCCCCAAATCCTGTTTCTGAGCAACTCGCTCAATGCAAACAGGAGGCTTTGCGTTTGTTTTGTTGAGAAGGTAAGTTTATCAGCGTTTCAGAGACTTCTTTTTGGTCCCCAAAATGGTCCCTTGAAGGCCCGCCCTCCTCTCTCTTGGAAGAGCGTGAGGGAATGAAAACGGCTGTTTCCCGCCACTGTGGTCTACCACGATTCATGGGGCTTCTGGAAATGAGCAATTTCAGTGTTGCGGGGTTTTTTCTTCTGATTTTAAGCTATTTTAAGATTGTTCGGTAGAGGGGGAGGGGCGCCTGGGTGGCTCAGTTGGTTGAGCACCGGACTCCGGCTCAGGTCCTGATCTCCCTGTTTCCAGGTTCCAGCCCCGGGTGGGGCTCTGTGCTGACAGCTCACAGCCTGGAGCCTGTAAATAAACATAAAAAAAAAAAAAAAAAAAAGATTGTCAGGATGAGGGGTGCTGGCTGGCTCAATCGGCAGAGCATGCAACTCTCAATCTTGGGGTCCTGAGTTCAGGTCCCACTTTGGGTGTAGAGATTACTTTAAAAGTAAGTAAATAAAGAAAAATAAAATCATCAGGTAGAGAATTTCAGTGAATCTTGGCTATGATATTTAAATTCGTATCCATGTAATATTGATACTGGCCAGAGAACCTGTTCCGAACTCAGGTTCTGCTCGATGCTTGAAAATCAATATCCCAGAGACAAATTATGGCGGGAAAGGAAAGGGTTTATTCAGGAAGCCAGCAGCCCAAAGAAAGCTGGAGGGTTTTTAAACTTTTTTTTTTAATGTTTTATTCATTTTTGAAAGAGAGCAAGTAAGGGAGGGACAGAGAAAGGGACAGAGGATCTGAAGCGGGCTTTGCATTGACATCAGTGAGCCCAACGTGGGACCTGGACTCTTGAGCCGTGAGATCATGACCGACAGTTGAGCCGAAGTGGGAGGCTCAACTGAGCCACCCCGGGAGGCCCCATGCTGAAGGGTTTGAAAGGGGAAAAGCTGGGAAAAGGGAGTGGGGTTCTGTGCAGGAGAAGCAGGTGCCCAGGCCACGTGACTCTGAACAGACTCACTGGCATCAGTGACAGGTGTTTTTCAAATATAGTCAGGCCTTATCTTCTGGGAAACTCTGGTCCTTTACTCAAGGCCAGTGGGCTGCAGATCTCAAGGAAAGTAAGTTCTGCTACAGACTAAGGGACTTATGTCACCAAGCAAGGTGTGAGTTCTTTCTCTCTCTGTCTCAAAATAAATAAATAAACTTAAAAAAAATAAATTCTTATTTTACTCAATGGGTTATAATTCCTTGTTACTATGTATTTTGATGTCCATACTGTCCAGGTTTGGCCGGTGGGAATCCCTTCAAACTGGCTCCTGTCCTTTGGACATGCCTCCATCTGCCTTTGAGCATTTCCTTCTTTTCTTTTTAAGTTTATTTATCTATTTTGGGAGGGAGAGGGGGAGGGAGAGAGAGAGAGAGAGAGAGAGAGAGAGAGAGAGAGAGAGTGGGAGAAGGGGAGAGAGAGAATGAAACAAGGAGAATCACAAACAGGCTCCACACCATCAGCTTGGAGCCTGCATGAACTGTGAGGTCATGACCTGAGCCGAAATCAAGTTCAACCAACTGAGCCACCCAGGAGCCCTGAGAATTTATTTTTAATTTAAGAATTTATGAATTCACGATGATTCAAGTAAGTAAATAAGTGGAGAAGGGGAAGCTCTTTTTCACTACTAAATGTAAAAAGAATGATGGAATTAGAGAATCATTTGGCTACCATCACAATAAGTGATTCAGGTAAGAGCCACTAATGGTTGTTGTAAAATCAGTTGGTGGACGTTTGAGGAGTAAGGGAATTTTTTTTATAGAACCTCAAAGTATGACCCAGAAAGATAAGTTTCAATGGGAAAAAGAGTTACTTTTGTCAAACATCAACAAAGCCAGACTTTAGGTAAGGGAATTAAAAACATAGTGGGAACTCCAGCAGAGTCAGGGACGTGAAACATTACAAGAAGCAGATAAGAGGGTTGGTCACTGTCATTGTCAAAATGATGCACTTCTTTTTTGATTATTATTTTAGGGAGACAGAGAGAGAGAGCGAGAGAGCCCAAGCAGGGGAGGGGCAGAGAAAGAGGAAAAAGAGAATCAGGTCAGGAGCCCATCTTCTGGCTGGAACGAATGGTGAATTCTTTTGTCAGCCTTTATCTTTTCCAGACTGGCACTCAAAAGGGCTGAGTCATTTCAGTGGCTTAGGCTGCTGGAAGCCATGGCAGAATGTGGGCAGAGTCCCTTAGTGCAAAGCAAGGGGTTTGAATGGAGTCAGTGTGCTGAGAGTTCTTACAGATCTATCTCACTTTACAGTAGAGAAACCAACAGACACCATGTTAACAGTACGGCTAAAACATCTCCAGGAACAAGGCTCAGTCGGCAGAGCATGCAATTCTTGATCTTGGGGTTGTAAGTTCAAGCCCCATGTTGGGTGTAGAGACTACTTAAAATCTCTGAAAGAAAAAACCATCTCCAGGAACAGGACAGACTGATATCACGTACCTCCTGACAGTGCATCAAGAAAAACACAGGGCCATTCCCCTGCCCCTCCTGCTCAAAGCACATGATCGATTATAATCAGCTGAAATGTCAGATAAAATCAAATCAGTGGACTTCTGCAAAATAACTGGCCTGTGCTCATGAAAGACAAAGATCTGTGAACTGAAGAACTCTTCCAGGCTAAAGGAGACTGAATGCCCTTGACAGTGAACACAACACAGAATCCTGGAGTTTCTTTCACCATAAGGACAGGTAATATCTGGTTAAAGTCTGTTGATTCAGTTATGGTAGTCTTTTTTTAAACTGATATATACTTGACATATAACATGATATTAGTTTCCGGTGTACAGCATAATGATTTGATATTTATGTATATTGATAATGGTATCCTCTCTTTTTTTTTAAGTTTATTTATTTTGAGAGAGAAGAGAGAGCAAGTGGGGGAGGAGCAGAAAGAGAGGGAGAGAGAATCCCAAGCAGGCTCTGCATAGCTTGACGTGGGACTTGAGATCATGATGTGAGCCGAAATCAAGAGTTGGTTGCTTAACCGACTGAACCACCCAGGCTTGCTGGTATTGTCTTTTTTTTTTTTTAATTGATGTATAATTGGTATATAATATGATATTAGTTTCACGTGTACAGCATAATGATTCAATATTTGTATATATTGATAACGGTATTGTCTTTTTTTAAGTTTGTTTATTTATTTATTTATTTATTTTGAAGAGAAGAGAGCACAAGTGGGGCAGGAGCAGAGAGAGAGAGAGAGAAAGAGAAAGAGAATACCAAGCAAGTTCCACACCATCACTGCAGAGCCCAACTCAAGGCTTGATCTCATGAACCTGGAGATCATGACCTGAGTCAAAATCAAGAGTCAGTCACTTAACCAACTGAGCCACCCAGGGTCCCTGGTATTGTATTGTATTGTATGTATGTATGTATGTATGTATGTATTTTAATATTTATTTATTTTTGAGAGAGAGAGAGACAGAGTGTGAGTGGGCGAGGAACAGAGAGAGAGGGAGACATAGAATTTGAAGCAGGCTCCAGGCTCTGAGGTGTCAGCACAGAGCCCGATGCGGGGCTTGAACCCAAAGAACCATGAGATCATGACCTGAGCTGAAGTCGGACACTTAACCGACTGAGCCACGCAGGAGCCTTCTTTTTTTTTTTTACTTTAGAGAAAGAGAATGCCTTTTTTTAAATTGGGATATAATTGACATATAACATGATATTAGTTTTAGGTGTACAGCATAATGATTCGATATTTGTATATATTGATAATGGTATTGTCTTAATGTTAATTTCCTGATTATGCTAATTGTACTGTAGCTATATGAGAATGTTTATGCACATGGAAGTATTGAAGAGCAAAGGGGCATCTTGTCTGCAAATTGTGTGTGTGTGTGTGTGTGTGTGTGTGTGTGTGTGTGTGTGTTAAGAGAGAGAGAGGGAGAGAAAAGACACAGATAAATCAAATACAATAAAATGAGAGAAACCTAAGTGAAGAGTATACCACAATGCTTTATATTCTTTCAAATTTTCTGAAATTATGTTTAAAAGCATTTGGAGGGAAAAAATGCAACCCCAGCAGGCAAACCAACCCCCAGTGGATTAGAGACCTGAGTATACAAGACGAAGGTAACAGTGAAACATGGATAAACTTCTTACAGTAAAATTAAGAGCTTCTGTGGGGCGCCTGGGTGGCTCAGTCAGATGAGTGTCTGACTCTTGGTTTCGGTTCAGGTCATGATCTCCTGGTTCGTGAGTTCGAGCCCTACATCGGGCTCTGTGCTATCAAGGTGGAGCCCACTTCCAATCCTCTGTCCCCCCCCCCCCCCCGTACTTCATCCGCTCATGCTCTTTCTCTCTCAAAAATAAATAAACATTAAAAAATAAATAAACATTAAAAAATAAATTAAGAGCTTCTGTGCATTGGAAGCCACTGTAAGGACCCTCTGGTCAAAGGGAGCCCCTCTCTGGGCCAGTTTTGGCCAGTGGCTAAGGGAGAGGTTCTGGGAGGGGGCCAAGGTGGTGGGTGATGCAGACACTGACTTGTGCCCTAGACCCCCACTCAGCCAATACCAAGCATCCCTTCCCTTGTGTGATGGTCTTCTGTTGTGACTTTTTGTGTGCCCTAGAACCACAGTCCCATAGACCAGTGACAGGTGGCTCTGGCCACATACTCACTTGGTGCCCCAGTGTGCCATGGTCCCATGGTCAAGTTTTGCTTCGTTTTTGGAATGATGTACATTTCCTGGTGGGGAAGGCATAGCCCTGCTCCGGGACCCAAGGGCTGTGCACCAGGACTCTTACTGGGGCTTGCCAGAAACACATGACATCTCTTTCTCTATCACAGACACTTCCAGCTCGAGGGGATCTGCTGGACCTGGTGGGCCAAGCAGGGGGGTACTCACCCTGCAACCTGGCCCTGCTGCAAAGGCCTTTCCTTGCCCTTGGTCTTTTTCACAGCTGGCAGCCTTCTGCGTCATCTGATAAATGTGTCACAGTAGGGTCCCTGAGTGTGGAATATGCCACATCCCCAACTCAGAGACCTACCAAGTCTTGTGTTCCTTTTTTCATGCAAACTGCAATAACCTGTATTTACTTCTTTTTTTAACTCTTTTTTTTAATGTTTTATTTATTTTTAAGAAAAATAGAAAACACGATCAGGGGAGGGGCAGAGAGAGAGGGGGGACAGAGGATCCAAAGCATGCTCCACACTGACAGCAGAGAGCCCGACATGGGGCTCGAGGTCACGAACCATGAGATCATGACCTGAGCTGAAATCGGACACTCAACCAACTGAGCCACGCAGGTGCCCCTGTATTTACTTCTGAGGGGATTTCCAATAGGCCACTGACTAGCAGCCTCATTGAGGTGACGAGTCCCTGGCCTTTCGGAGTGTGTGTCTCACCAAGGCCACTGATGTACTCAGCATTTCCTGTTCCACAGGTCAATCACACGACGTCATCCATATGATGGACCAATGTGATCTTGGGGGAATGCCCAGAGCATTAAGGTTCCTCCGAAATGTACTATGACAGAGAGTGGGACAATTAAAATGGTCCTGGGGTTGGGGTGCCTGAGTGGCTCAGTGGATGAGCGTCTGACTTCGGCTCAGGTCATGATCTCATAATTTGTGAGTTTGAGCCCCGCATCACGCTCTGTACTGACAGCTCAGAGCCTGGAGCCTGTTATGGATTCTGTGTCTTCCTCTCTCTGACCTGCCCCTGCTTGTGCTCACTCTCTCTCTCAAAATTAAATAAACATTAAAAAAATATATATACAATAAAATAGTCCCAGGGCAAGCCTAAACGCGTAATGCTGTCCATCCCGTGTGAATCCAAACTGCTTCCAATCCTCTTTCCATTTTTTAAAATTTATTTAAAATTTATTTACTTTTTATTTTTTAAAGGATTAATTTTCTTTTTTTAAATTTTTAAATGTTTTTTAATTTATTTTTGAGAGAGACAGAGTGCAAGCGGGGTAGGGACAGAGAGAGAGGGAGACACAGAATCCGAATCAGGCTCCAGGCTCCGAGGGGTCAGCACAGAGCCTGACACGGGGCTCGAACTCACGAACCGCGAGATCATGACCTGAGCCGAAGTCAGAGGCTTAACCGACTGAGCCCCCCAGGTGCTCCCATCCAATCCTCTTTTCAGATGAGAATGGAAATGATCACATCCAGTGGCTCTGCATCATCTCCTGTGTAACGTGCTCAACTATTCCACATCTGGCCGCTGCAGTGAGGGCTGCGACCAGGCTGGGTGCCTGTCATCTGCCAGGACTCATGTGCTCTTTGTAGGGGCCAGACTAGTGAATATAACCTGGGGGTGGTGGTGATAGGAACCACCACCCTCCAACCTTTAAGGCTTTCGGTGTGGCACTAATCTCTGTCTTTCCTCTCAGAGGCAGTATTATTCTGTAACATACTCTCTTGGTGAGTGGGTAACAGTTTCAGGAGATTCTGCTTGGCTTTTCCTACTCCAATACCTCTTACTCTATGGGCCAAGGAGCCAATGTGTGAATCTGCCTG